GGTGTCTTTGTACCATTAATATCTATCTGTGATTCCCATCCAAATTCACCCAGATTTGACCAGGCTTTCATGCCATAGGGAACTGTGATGTGTTTAGAGTTTCTTGAACTTTATAACTGTGTTCCTTAAGCTTTGAAGGAGAGTAGGACAGTTTGGATATAAGAAAATAGTGGAAGAGGTGGTGAAATCTTAGGAATCATGATGAGACTGATTAGGACAGTGAGACAATGAATTTTGAATGAAAAGAATAGCTGATTGCAGACAAAGATGAGCTGGGTAGTGAGAGGACAACTGGGATGAACATCAGTAAGTATGGAAGAAGATAGAAGTGGGATAGGAGAATTTGGTAGGTTTTTGTTTGCTTGGCTTCTCTTGATTGGGGTTAAGGTAAGAGGAGGTGATGCAAAAGGAGGATAAATTGGGAAGGATTGAGGCTGCAAGGAAAGCCTCCTGCCTATTGATTCTAAATCTGGAATGGAACTTCAGTTTTCCTTCGGATTCAGTGCAATTAAGGATTGACAAGAACTATCAATAAGGAAATGTCTATTTGCCTATGCAAACTCTGTTCAACTACATTGTGCTCAAACCTTGTGATTGTACTTAATTATTGGAACATGTATTTTGCACAGAACTATCTCCCATTGCACAGCAATTGCTGAGTGCCCCAGCCAGAGCTGTAGATATGTTTCTAGAAGTCCATTTCTATCTTTACTGCTATATATTTTGCACACACAGGCCAAAACTACTAGCAGCTGTTTTCCTTTTGGCCTGTTGGTTTTCTCTGTAGCTCTATATATATATGTATATGTATGTATGTATATATATGTGTATATATATATATATTCACACACAGTAGCGTGTATGTCTTTATATATATGTGTGTGTGTGTATATACACATATGTATACACATATAGCAATAGGTAAAACTTTTCAATACTTTTTTATTCCCTAATTCATGTGGTGAAACACGAGTGCCAAACAGAAGTTATCCAGGTAGCCATTCTGTCAAAACATCTACTCTTTTTTCTCTTCTGGCATCATACTGTAGCTGCAACTTTGAATTAAAAACCACTTTCTTAGCACGTCATAGTACATTTGTCGTCCAAATTTGCAAACACAGATTTTAACTTTCTGAGGAAACTTCACCAGTGCTACTATTTTCACTAAATATCTAATCAAATGCAGCTCTAAATGATATCTATTATCTGCTGAGCTATATTAGCCTTTTTTTTTCCTTCCCTAAGAGCAGTGCTTTATGAAATCAAAGACTAATTTCACTGGAAATGTGCAGGCCGCATTTAAATATGGTATCTTTATAACCTTAAAAGAATTATAAAGATCTTCTAAATAAATTAACTCCTTATTTATTAATAAGGAGTCTCAACTCCTTCAGCTTTAAGAGTTTATCTAGTTCAGTTATCACTAAATCATAATCTCTTGCATGCAACTTATTTTTTATCACATCAGCTGTCTGTCTGAAATTGAAAAAAATCCGCTATGACTACTTTAATGTACTTCAAAATTTTCCAAAATGGTTTATTTAAAGAGTTCTTGTATATCCAAATGTAAGAACAGGACCTTGAAATTTGGCGGCAGATAGGCTGTATCTTGAACACAACTTTTGCTGTCTCTGACAAAAAAATGCCTGAATTCAGGCAAGCCAAAAGCACTCCGGATAAGTAAGCTGAAATGACATAGGTTGAAAAGGTCTTTTGCTTTGGAGCAAAGGGCTATCTGTGTTACGGTCTAGGATATCATAACGTAGGATAGCGCTAGTAGGGTGGAGAAGGAAGCAGGTATTTCAGTGCAGAAAGATACAAAACCAGAAACATTTGGATAAGAATGTATGATCGAAACCAAAAATGATAATTGTTTTGGGCTGGGCCTTGAGATTAGCATTTTGGGTTGTGAGGAAATAATTGACTGACAATACAACTAGAAATAAAAACTATACTTGAGTAAGAAAGAGGGGAAAAATAGGATATGGGGGAGAAATAGAAGATAACGGAGAGGAATTGCTGGGGTTAAAGATCTAAGAGTGAAATAGTAAAGCTGATAAAGACTGTAAGTGAGAGGTCTGAACAACAAAAAGCTTGAACTTGAGAGGAACCGATAGGAAGAGGATTTTGTCGCTTGCTGGGCAAATATATAGGAATAGTGGAATAGACATGGGAAGATAGCCGAGGAAGGGACACGGGATGAAAAGCTTGCTGGCGTGGGAGTCTACGTGGTGATGTTAGGGACTGCTGAGCTAGAAGCTGGGCGCAGCTGTGCGGATGGTGGAAAAAGGAGGGCTTCTGAGAGCGGCTTAAACACTTCTTGATCCTGCCTCCTCTGGGTGATTTTCTTGAGATGCCAAGTTATGGAAATTTCTTTTTTTCATTAAAAGAAATCTGTGACAGATGTGACTGCAGCATCTAAAGAGCGTTTGAGGTATAAAATGGTGATGATGGCAGTATCTTTCTATTGTGTAGAAATGTGAGGAAATTCATTAATACTCGTAAAGCCCAATGACTGGTGTTCTTTACCCTCAAAAAGTTACATAAGAAACCAAAATAGCCCTCTGTGAACATGGCTACTTTTAAAAATGTAAACAGAACAAAATATTGCAGAGAACCTGCAAAACTCAAATATTTTGATGGGCTGAATTGCTCCAGACTGAAAACTTATTAGTAAGAAGAGTAGCACAGGGAGATGTTTTGGGGAACAGAAGGGCAGATCAAGAGAATGGATTTATCGTATAGCTAGCTTTGGGCTGACCGGGATACCAGGTGCGAATAACGTGTGATAGCGATAAACTCTACGTGAGCATTAGTTGGTGGGAAAGAGCTGACGCTGCAATATCATGGTAGGATAAAATTGGGAGAACCATAATAGATTTATCTATCCACACTTGACTAAGGAAAAACAGCTGTGTGCTGTGTTAGTTAAAGAATTTGAGTAGAGGAGAGTTATTCTGAAGCAGTGGAGAAAGCAGATGCTACTGCCCTGTATAGATTTTTGCCTTGTAATGCATGTCCAGCTAAAGTGCGAGGATATTTAGGGACGTCCATTCCTCACCTCCCCACTTGACAGAAATGATATGCATGACAAATTACACTTTCCTGCATGTTTTTCTTGCCAAGTTGGGAAGACACGTTTAGGCACTTGCAATTGCATACATCTGTTAACATGGGTTAAATGAGCAGCGCAGGAAATGAAATGAGTAAAGATAACATTTTTGCAAAGCTGTGAAGTGCCAAACTTGGAGAAATAAACTTATGTTTACATTAAATGTTTTTATTGTTTGAGGAATTGTATCCTTTTGGTGGAAAATCAGAATTTTGTAAATGATTTTAAAAAGATTCATTTAAAGAGGTATTTTATGTCATCATGCTGTTTCCTTTTGCCTTACCTTAATCTTCTTAAGTAGAAACCCCAAATAGTCATCTGATAAAATCTTTGAAGGGCATTTGTTATGAATCACAGGTTCATCTTTCATTTTTATTTACTACATAAATGCTTAAGTATCAGACTTAAGTTGTTTAATGTACATGTGCTTCATTAAGTGGAAACACTCAAAAATTGCTTGCATCTCCATGTGGCCTACTTGAATTTATATATAGAAGACAAAATGTGAATGCCTTTTAGATTGACATTGTCAAGCAACTGGCACCTTCCTCTCCCCATTGGGTATCTGCACTTAAATACCACTGACTTCAGTTGTTCAGTGATTTCTACCTGAAGGCAACACACCTTTGCCCTTATGGAATTTCACATTTAGTCTCCTTTGCCGTTAAAAACAAGACGATCTTCAATATCTTGATTTAGGTGTTATTTTCATATATATATATATATATATATATATATATGTATATATATATATATATATGTATATATATATTTATACACAATTTCTTGGGATTAAACTTGCTTTGGACATGGAAACAGTGAGGTACAGTCACATGACACAGCTATGCAATTGCTGTAAAAAATTTTGAAATGAAATAATGTAAGGTTGTAGTATATACTCATTTAGCAGGGTTTCATATGAAACTTCAGAAGGCCTTAGTGAAAGAAGACTCAGTCTGGCTGTAACATGAGGCATAGTTGACAAATTTCGGTGTCACTGCAAATGTACCATCTTAAAATTATTATAAAGATCCTTATTTTATGGAACGAAAATGAAAAAATGCAAACGAAAATATTTGTAGCATATGTAAAATTTTTGAGTTTCTGATATATCTTTTATCACTAGGAAGGTAAATATCAGTAAGTGATATGTATTTGTCCTAGGTAAACTTCTCAATCCACAAATATTCCATAATAAATGAATTTTCCAGTGTAGCTGATTGGAAATTTTCCTTGTTATTTTGTTTCCACAGGTGCAGAAGATGAAACAAGCTCGGTAATACAATATCCTACACAGTATATTAATCAAGAACCTTATCTGCATCAAGACGATGACCAGCAACAAGGATGGGTTTCTTGGGCTTGGTCTTTTGTTCCTGCTATTGTGAGTTACGATGATGAAGAGAACAATTCCAGTGGAGTGGATGATGGAACAACATTACATCAGCAGAAGTCCCAAGCCCTTAAGGATCCTATTATTTCCATTGGGTTTTATTGTACAAAGGCAACTGTGACTTTTAAGGTAAATACTTCTCTGCATTGCATAGTATTTAATTGGTTAGTTGAGTATGAAGTTTATATAAATACTTGTTTTATATAAATACTTGTCTAATAAGTCATAAGGGAATATTATGCTGATGAATAATAAAAAATGTGAATGTTGAAAGTTCAATTCATATCATAATGTACTGTTAATTACAGGTTATTTTGCTCTTTAAGGCACAATTTATTCAGTGCAAGCATTTTACCTTAAATGAAAACCACTTTATTTGCTTCAATAAGAATATATTTTGAGGGAAAAGAAACTTAAAAAAGGCTTTATGTGTATATTGTAATACTCTATCTATTTAATGTTCATTTAAATGTATTTCTCTGCAAAAGTGCTTTAGCTTCGTACTGCTAGTTAATGAATGTTGGGCAAATATGAATTTAACTTACTTGTGTTGAAGTTATTTTTGATGGTTTGAAAATGTCTCAAAGAATTAAAAGTCCACATATATATTGAGGTGTAAACTATGTATGTGCTAAGAAATTTCAATAATTTCAGCAGAGAATACGTGGAACTTGAATAAGACATTGAGTTGTACTAACAAGCTAATAAAAAATAAGGTTCAGCAAGTACTTTTAACATATTCAGTAAAGTACTTTTAATGTATGACAAATGTTATGCAGGCAGTTTTTGTCCATAATAAGAAGCTGCTCTGAGTTTTACAATTAAAAATATACTAAATCAAATAACTGAGGGATTTTCTGTTTTTGCTTCTTTTTGGCTTGATTTTGTCCTTGTCTCTTGTACGACCTGTAATACCGTCGTTGCCATCTCACAGCGCACGTGAGCCTGCCTGCACACGCAGAATAGCTTGGGCTGCTCCCTGTGCCTTCTCTGGCTCTTCAGCTTGTCACCAGGGTCAGTGACGGTGTCGTGAGCGGCTCGACGGAGCTTCCTCTGAGCCCTGTCCCCGTGGTGGCAGCGCCCAGCCTGTAGCTGCTCAGCATCTGCTAGAGGGGACAGAGCAAATGGCTCTGGGAGCTGCAGGGACCTGTAGGCGTTGGGCAACCTGTAGAGACGTGTTAGAACTTGAGTCTTCTGGCAACTGTGGTAGCAAAATTTGAGGACACAAGCGTAAATAAGCATTTGGTCATGTTCTTTGGTCATGAAGCTGGTCTGCCTCAGCCCTTGTTTAAAAGATAAAAAGCAGGCTAAAAAGAAATGATGCAAAAGAAAATCCCCCTCTTGATTAACAAAACCAGACAAAACCAAAAACAACCCAAAAGGCTAGTATTTCTATTTCAGCCATGTTAATTCTTGGCCAATTAAACTTGATAAATATGTAATTTTAACATACTTCAGAGTATTTAATTATATCTCTGCGATGTTATTTCCTTTAAAAAATATACAACCATCTCAAAATTGTCTTTTATTATGTTTCAGCATCTTTATTTTGTGTTTCTTGTACAATAATAGTTTTCTGCGTTGTTTCCTCATGTGAGAAATATTATTAAAATAATAAGAACTAATTTTTGAAAAGAATTTACTTGATTGGGCCTTCCTAATATGTCATTGGCAAGCTGATGCTTTTTATACTAGAAAGTAATTAACAACTGCTCAAAACATAGCATCTTATTTTTAATAAATTTAGAATGTAAAGTGTCTGTCACTAACAGAGTGACAGTTAAGAGGAAAACAGAATTCATTGTTCTGTTTGCATGCAAAAAATGTATGGAATTAATTTGTGGTTCATATTTTGGTTAAAAAATAAGGTCAAGTTTCTGCATTAGCATTCTGAACAGTTGATACCATTCCAGCTTAATAATCATGCCAAATTAGCATTTTCTAATAATGCTGAAAATAATTCTTGTAATGTCTGAATTCTTTTAATCAATTAATTGCTTTTCCTCTACGATAATTGCACACAGATGAAGTGATCAGTGTCTTTTTTTTTTTTTAAATCCAATTATGTTGAACGTTAGGATTACAAAATTTTACTTTGAAACAACAACCATGTGTATCCACTCGTGGAAATAATAACGACAGTTTTCAGATATTTTTAAAATAAAAATTAGAATTTGTATTATTTAAGCTACTTGACATTACCAAAATTAAATCTTCTTTAATATAAAACATGAACAGTGTTTTGTGCCTCTTTCTTTGGTTTCTTAAGTCTGTAATAAGCTTTTTAGCCACGGTGTATGTGTTTTGCCACTCTATATTGTCACCTTTAAATTAGTCATATAAGAATTATGAATGCATGTTTCTTTCAAGTAAAAAAGAAAACAAAATAAGTGTGGTTGCAACTCATAATATTTTGTTGATATTGTTTTGGTGTTTCAGTATTTGCTGAGCATGATAAATAATTCTATGGATTTTGACAGCAAATGATAAAATCATTTGATACTATGTTAATGCAGCTGCATATCTGTTTCATCTTTTCACATAGCTTCTCTTTAGATAAACAAAAAATACTGTAGTGCATTTGAAACTTTTTTATGGCATACTTGAGGTTAAAAAGGCATGTTCAACTGGAAGTTGAATATATGAAGTTCTAATATGGGTAATGTGTTACAGATGTTTTAGTGCACCTGTTTCCTGCTTATTAATTAATTTTGGCCCATAGTAGAATGTCTTCATCAGTTCTGTATATTAATGACATTACTGCAGTTTAATGCTAATGTTGACTTATGCAAGATATTTATCATATTGTTTCATAGCTCACGGAAATGCAAGCTGAAAGCAGTTACTATAGCCCTCAGAAAGTAAAATCCAAAGAAGTTATATGCTGGGAACAAGAAGGAACCACTGTAGAGGTAATTATTCATTAAGGGGGATAAAAATATATTTGTTGTAAAATAAATAAATAAAAATATAAATTTGTTGTAAATACTGTGGCAAATTTACATAAAAAAGTTACTAAGACATAAAAAAAATGATTTTGTTGTTGCTATATATGATGTGTTTATTGTAGTGATCATAGATAGGATACAGAGATTACTTCAGTGAAAGAACATTGTACCACTGGTAAAGTAAAGACTTAGTCTATTTCTAAATATTTTATTTGTTTAACCTGTTGTTTACTGAAGTACTAAATATATAAAAATAAACATGTAACAGTTCACTTTTTTCATCTTTTCTGTTCTACTGGAGTAGAATTCTTCAGCATTTGACTTTTTTCCCCACTAGGTCCTTATGAAAGGTGAACTCTTCTTCGACTGCCAAATAGGTTTTGTTGGCTGTCAAGCTATGTGCCTTAAAGGAATTATGGGAATTAAGGACTTTGAAGAGAACATGAATAGGAGTGATGAAGTGAGTATACTGAAATAGCAGTTGCCTTGTTGATTACAGAAATACTGATATACTTTATTAAAATATGTATTACAAAAATAGGGAAAGCTTCTGTTACTAGTTTTGAATTTTTTGTATATGTCACTGTTACATAGAATTCAATGTCTTTTGCTTACAATTGGAAAGAAGACAAGAATGTAAAGGTACAAAACTTAAAGCATTTTTTATACACTGCCTGTCATTCTAGTGTCTATTTGCATACATTGTTCTTGTACAGAAAAATAAAAGTTTATAAATTATTAAAGTCAACATAAAAATATTTAAATATACAGAAGACGGTCAGAAGGAAAAAAGTGCGGACATTATACAGAGCCCTGGAACAGGCTGCCCAGAGACGTTGTGGAGTCTCCTTCTCTGGAGATCTTCAAACCCTCTTGGACGCAGTCCTGTGCCACGTGCTCTGGGTGTCCCTGCGTGTGCAGGGGGTTGGACTAGATGATCTCTAGAGGTCCCTTCCAACCTTAACAGCTCTATGATTCTATACACTGAGAGTAATACAGGTGTAGCTGAAGTACTGAATGCCTTTTTACTCTCTCATTTTTTCAGTAAGGTTGATGAGAACACTAGGAATTGAAATGCATTAAGACAACATTCATTTCTATATGCTAAATAGAAGCACAACTGAACTTGCTCAGTAAGACAAAATTGATTGTCCATATGAACTATCCTTAAAATATTCAAAGAACAGATTTCATGAAATTCTGAGTCCAAAAGCGTGGATTTTAAATTGCATTGTATTGATGGAATGATGCCCATTAGTATTGTAGAATAGCAATTATTATGTGTTCTTATATAAAAGCAAATAATGCAGACAATTGCAAGCCTGTTAACTTGAATTGTTGTGAAGTATTATGAGGGGAAAAATTAAGAACAGGAAAGAATGTGAAAAGTGACTGTAGATTAAATTCAATTATCTCAGTTTTCTGAGAAATACTCATATGCTATGCTATGATAGACATGGTGGGAGAGACTCTTGTACCTCTCTAGAAAATGCTTAGGTTTGATATTCCTTATATATATGTGCTTGCAACAAGAGAAATTCTGATTAGAAATTAGGAAAACATTTTTCACTCCCAGGGTGATAGAACACTAGGAATGGAAAAACTGTCCAGAGATTTTGTGGAATTCCTGTTTTTGGAGATGCCAAGAACCTCACTGGACAAAGCCCTAAGCAACGTCCTAAACTGTGCTCTGTTTCTATGAGTGTGTGTACAAGATTTTGAAAGGAGCCTGGGTTGCCTCTCTAGATATACCTTGTGCTGCTACTGTCTTCAGACTTTTGGTGGTGATGAATTCCTGATGATTTCTTTCATCCTGTGATTCAGTGGATGCCCTGGCCTTTGCAAGGAACGTGCCTTTGTAGGAACATGAATGTTGCTGACAGGGCCTCCTCACTTGTTCTTTGTGTACTGTGGTAGCTGCAGCTCCTGGCCTCTCAGACAGGCTTGAGCTTTGCTCTATGTGCTTGAGAATGGAAGGCTGAGAAAAGTTGATACAAATTACTTTTCTGAAGGGATAACTCTTGATAGAAAACTCTTATCCATTTCAGAAAGCGGGGGGATTAGGGATATGATGGAAAAAAGCATGTTGATAAAGAAGGAAGAGTGATAAGGCAGCAAACAAGTCATACTTTGAAATAACTGTTATGAATAGGATAGATAAAGCACTTGAAAGGCGTTCAGAGGGATGGAGTCAATCAGAGGAAAGAAGTATGTAGTGACAAGATAGTGCGCAGGTAAAGGATGAAGCAAATTTCACAGTGACAATATGGGAAATTGTTTCCTGTTAGCATAAAGCTAGTGGCGTTCTCTATCGTGAGCTGTACAGTACAATTCATTAGCTGAGTCTGGTTTTAACCACTTGAAAATGGGAGGGAGTGAAGAAAAACTTCAGCTTTATTTAAAATGATTTTAATTCTGAGTCTGGTTTTAACAGCTTGAAAATGGGGAGGGAGTGAAGAGGAACTCCAGCTTTATCTAAACAAAATGATTTTAATTACCTTGATTTTTTTGTCCATATTTATAATGGAAGTTTTGATTGGTATTGAGGTTTACATTCTTTCATACTCTCTGGAGGGAAACTGCATGTTTTTACATGTCTTTAGTGTGTTATCATAGAATTGTAATTGCTCTGTTAATGTGACTTTTCCTCTTGCTATATCATAATAATAATTATTTTTTTACTCTATGAAGGAGGCCTGCTTCTTTAATTGTGGAGAAAATTTGAGTGCAAAAGGGATGACTTACCTCACCAATTCACTATTTGACTACAGAAGTCCAGAAAATAATAGTATTCGTGCTGAATTTATATTGGATGCAGCTCATCATAAGGTCAGAGAATTAAATTTTTCATATAAGAAGTTCTAATGGATTCTATTGGCTATGTAATAGATTTGTTTTACATCTACTGGCTGATTGAAGGGCTGATTTTCCTTACTTTGTGATATCTTACTTTGCAGATGGCCAAAAAGATGGTAAACCTGTTTGTGTTTAAAACAAACCAAAATGAGTCCCAAAGAAAACTCAGGAAAAAAAAAAGAAAGAAACACCCACCCTTTTCTCTCTGAAAAGTAAATTAATACTTTGAGATCCAAAATCCCTAACTACAAACCTCTTCAAAGGGAAACTGAGTTGTGACAGAATGTTAGCAAAGGTCAAGCTTATGAGCGCATACTTCTTGAAACACAGCTCATAAGTAGACTTCAAACCGAGAAGTGCCCTCTTGAAAACTGAATCTGGGATAATGTAAATTTTATTGTCCCTGGACTCTGTGTTTGTCTGCTTAGGGGAAGTCTTGCCACTTCTGCCTTTACTGAGGCTGGCTATATACAATAATATAAACATTTCCAATCTCAAGTATTATGTTTTGTTGTCAATTTTGGAGCAAAACTTTATTGCCTGATTGCCTACACTTTTTGAATTTTTATTTATTTATTTTTTTAATAAATAAAATAAATACATTTCATTGAAATTTAAACTTCACTGTTTTCACCTTTTTAGTAGTAGTGATGGAGAAGTGTTAGCATGAAGACTTCATAATCATAAAGTGAAATAAATGAAATCACAAGCATTTATACATATTTAAACATTTCCAATTGTTCGTTTTTGTTAAGTTTTACTCTTTCCTTGATTTGTCTTCTATGATTTTATGACTTGACTATCTTTTGGGGCGAGGGGAACAAACTTGCTGTGTAGTAATTGGGAATATCATGTACGTATCTTGGTGATGGCATAAAGCTGTGTTAAGTTTTCTATGGTTCAAAAGATAAAATCACAGTTTTCTTTTAAAGAAAAAAAAAACAGAATGAATGAGCTTCAGTTTTGAGTGTATTTAATTAGGCAGTTCTGTTGGATGTAGGAGGTCAAGTGAAGAATATTTAGTCCATTAAAGGTACTAAGTAACTAGATGTTATTGATGAATTGTTCAGAGTGTCCAGTAGAATTATGGATGTGTCTTTGTGTGGCCTCAAGTAGAAGTTACATTACCTATCACAAAGGTGAATTCTTGGGGATAACCTCTGTCCTTTGTTTTGATAAGCCTTCCCGTGTGTTGATGCACAAACCCAAACAAAAATATATCTCTCTCATACGAGCCTATCAGTTGGTAATCTCAAGATCCTTTCCTTATACAACGTTTTCGGTGTTTGCTTTGCTTTGTTGGTAGGAGACGTACACAGAGATAGCTGGAATGCAAAGGTTTGGGGCTTTCTACATGGATTACTTGTACACAATGGAAAGCACCGGTGGCAAAGGTACCTTTCTTCTTTGTTTACCCTGTTAAATAATAGAAACAAAGACTTTTCAGGCCCAGTTGGTCCTTGACCATATGTCCTCCACCTTACCTTGGATTTGCCTTCAGGTTCATAGTTGAAATAGTTTATTCTGCATTGATACATTGGAGGTTAGTTGTTCTATTTGTTGTTTATTGTTGCTGTGCAACAAATTTTTTGCCTAAGCAATTAAGATAATACCTCTTATACTCAGTGAGTAAAATGAAAATAATTCTCCTGTAGCAGTGCAAGTTTCATTAAGAAAAACAACAATGACAAAGACTTTTAACTAGAAAAGCCATTATTAATGACTTTGGAAAAATTTATTAAATATGTTGAACTTCTGTCTGATGGAGAAGATGTGAAAGAACCATATTATTTTCTCCTATACAAAAAAGGCAAGGATGAGAAGGCTATGCCTTCAGAATTACCCAGCTGAGTGTGTTGATATTGGTGTTGATATTCTTACGAATAATAGTGGGTTTTTGTTCTGTTTTGTTTTCCTCTGGGGAATTGTCATCTACAGCAGCCATTCCATAGGTTTTAATGTCTAATGATTTTTTCTTCCACCTCTGTCTTTAGACCTGTGTCTTAATGTGTGAACACATTATTCCAGAGGTCTCCTGACAACTTTCAGCTACTTTGTGATCAGTTACCTGTCCTTCCTATTTACTCTGATTCATTCGTTTCGATTTTTTTTTTGCTTTTATTCCTCTGTATAAGAGAAGTCTCAGTGCTTTTTCTTTCTTTTTTAAACAATGTTAGACATTAAATTTAAAAGGAGTAGGAAAGAAAAAACAACTTTGGTTAGAGCATGGGTCATGCAAAGCTTATTAAATGTATACATACATGGATATATACACACAAAGATTGAATATTTTTGCATAGACTTATAGGTATAATTTTTTTAGGTAGATATGGAAAATGGCATGTGGACCTATGTACCCACACATTCAGACACGATGCCATTGCATTAGGTAGCTGAGGGTTAGGGCAGGTAACTGAGCGGCTCATTCCCAGTCCCAAGACTTTGTAGTCTGTGTACCGTATTGTTAGCTCTGATTTGAACCTAGCTGAGAAAATGTACATCAAGTCAAGCTTTTACTGCAGTTTATTTCTGTTTTTAATCAAGAAATAAAGGTTCATTTACACAAACAACTTCTAGGTAGAGAGGATATGGTTTATCTCCTTTTTGATTTTTGCTATTGAAGTTTGAGTATGCACAGGTTATTTGATTATGAGAAGTTGATCTTGTTATTCTTTGCCTTGCTTTTCTGAACATACAGGAATTGAACAAGATATCCTTTCCTGACTGTCATGAACCCTTTTCAGAGTGTGTGCAACTCAAAAACCCTTATTAACTCACAGCCAGACTGGTATTTTTATAGTATTTTTTCTTCCTTCCTCAGCTTCTCTACTATTTCATTCAGTTTGTTAGTTTGTTCGCCAGGTCCTTGGCTTTTATTTGCTTTTTCGGGAGGAAAATACCTCAAAATGCTTAGCTTCCTATGGAGGTTTGCTGTGTATTACTCTTCTATTTCCAGCTACCTGAATATATAAAGGGATGGATCATCTAATTAGTTTTAAATTTTAAAGTAAATTTAAATGTAAAGATGGCTGTTGAATATCTAGACTCAAGAAATTTGAACTTTAAATTTTCAAGTGGTTTTGTTCCTTAAGAAAGCACATGTGACATTTTCTGCTAATTGTTTTCTAGCTATTTTTTCTATACTGAAAGTCATGGTGTAAATTATTTACATTAAAAATCAAGACTTTATATTGATTTCAAAACCTTGAAATATTTAATCTCATTGCAGTTTAAACTTGTGGTGCTTTTATGAAATGTATTTATGTAAAAAGTGAACATTTATCTTTTTCATTTTGGCATTCTTAATTATATTATTAGTTACAACCAGAGCCTACTGCCTTCCCCTAAAAACTCCAATACAACCTAAATTACAGGAGGCAGTTGCTGTGATTGTTAGATTTTTATCTGTCAAAGCAATTTTGGTTTGTCACCTTCTTCACCCCTTTAACCTTTCCTGGAGCATACAATTACTGATTAAACCACAGGGCCTCCTGGATAGTATTAACCTCAGGAGTTTCACCTGTCACTTGTGTAAGTGCACTAATCACTTTTAGTATTTTGATTAAATGCAAGATAGTGAGTCATGCCCAATGGTTTAATTTTGAAATTCTTCCTGTCTTTCTCTTGCCATTCTCTTTTTCTATTTTATACCACCTGTTTGCTTGCACAGCAGTGATTTCTTGGAACCATTTTGTAGCTTATCCCTGATCCCTGTGGAGATTTACATGACCTGCAGATTTAATACAGTGTAATTTTGATGTTGTATATTTTGTTTGTATTTATTGTGCAGTACTCCCATCTTAAAGTTTTTGTCAGTTAGGCTTGGGCATAGGGTTTACTGAGGGCTGAATACTCTGTGATCAATAATCCAATTTTTGCTTTCTGTATGTGCAAACTCTCAGAATTGACCTGTGAATCCTTACTTCTGCATAAGCTATAGAATTCCTACTCACATTATTTTTGCACTTCAATGTGCCTAATTAAACGTAATTATCCCAGAAATTGTATAAGTCACTCATATAAGTGAACACAAGTGGATTTGTTCTGTCCTTTTTGAAAATGTAGGCTGTTACTACTTTGAAGATTTTTAGACAGAGTGCTGACAAAAATGTGTGTTAAATTCATATTAAATAAAGCATACTCTGAGAGCAGGCTATATGTAGATATACACATATAAAGTCCTCTTCATGATTTATAACAAAGTTCTAACAATTTCATGGGTTCTTTTTTGTTGCCTCTAAGGCATTTTGCCTTCAGAAGTGAAGAAGCTTGTGGAGAAGATTAGAAGAGGGTTTATAAGGTTATCTTTTTGTCCTTTTTTTGCTTTCAGAAGTGGTAAACAGAAGAGCAAGGGGAAGCAGAGGCTGTAAAAGCTCTCACTATGTGAGGGCTCTGAGGGACAAAGACAATTCTTGTGCTGAGCCTCCAGGCCTGGAGAGGCCTACGGGGCGTAACGACAGCTCCATTTCCAATTTGAGTGAACCACCATTCCCCTCGCCAGCACTTACAAGGAAGAACATTTTACAGAGCGATTTATAGAGGAGGGAAGAAAACATCCTCCCTTCCTCCCATTAAAAAGACTGTTTTGAGTGAGTGTAGTAGAGGAGAGAGTGAAAAGGGAGTGTTCCCATGAATCATGGAAAAAGGACCAGGTTCCTGTCGGGTAACCAGAAAGAAAACATGCATTTTTCCAGTTGGCTTAGAGTAAGATTTGCCTTGAAGCTGTGAAGCTGCACATCATGCCAGGCTGGCTTCACCACAAAACCTCAGCTCCCCAGAGTTCAACAGATGCGTTAGCTCTTTGAGAAGGTGGTTGGGTCGACTGTCGGCTGCTGCCTGGTTCCACTGCTCATCTCTTGCCATTCCCTTGATATACATTGATGCAGGCAGATTACATTCATGAGGGTGAGAACATAACTAGAATTTGGAATGATCAGGTTTCCCCATGGTTTTGGACAGTGATTCTCTACCAGTGTGCATTGTTTCTTACTGCAACAGGAAGTCAGGAAGTTGCTAGTTGTGCAGGAAAATTTGTGTCTGAGAGGTTGGTGGGAAGAGGAGGGATGGAAACAAGCTTGCATTGAGAGAAGGTGTGCAAATTCCTTGTTGGATAAGAAAGGGTTAATGGCTTTGCAATCACTTGAAAACTGTCGCTGGTATGAAGGATTCATCAGGAAAAATCAGTCTGCCATTAATGTAGCCTTTGGTTCATGCAGAATGACTTTTATCATGAAAATCCAAGGAGAAATGTGTCAAGGAGACAATCCTGGAATTGAACAGTAAACACTAAGGTAAAGCACTAAGTGTAATTACATAGTGTATTTACTATTTTCTGTTTGTCCGACTTTTATCATGAAAATCCAAGGAGAACGTATCAAGGAGACAATCCTTGAATTGAACAGTAAACACTAAGGTGAAGCACTAAGTGTAATTGCATAGTGTATTTACTATTTTCGGTTTGTCGCAGATTTGCCCAGGTGGATTATGGACT